GGTTTGTTTTGTTGGGATTTTTTTTCTCTTTTATTTTTGGAAGTTTAGATGAAGTTTCCTATTACTCAATTTCTGGCCGTTGCATCTTGTCCTTCTGCCGGACACCACTGAGAAGAGTCTGGCCCTGTGTCCTTTACTCCTTTTCATCAGGTATTCACACACAATAAGATTTCCAGCATCCCAGGCTTTTCTTTTCCAAGCTAAACAATCCCCAGAAATCTCTGAACCTCTTCAGATTATTGTATTTTGGGCCCAGTCTTGAGAACTGGACTGACAAATTGGAAATTGATTTGGTGAAATGAAAAGTATACAAAAGGAGGCGTTAAAAGATGATTGTCTATTTCAAATGAGCTGCATAGAGAAATTACACATCTGCAAGTAAAATTAGTTGCACAGATAAGTTTAAGAACTTGAATTATGGAGATGCTTTATAATTCTTGGAAGTTAGAAATATTTTTAATGCTTTTCTACAATAACTGGAATAACTCTTCATAAAATAAATAAGAACTGGAGTGAAATGTGGAAAAAGGCTCTTAAGCTGTATCTTCTCAGAATGGTTATGGATAACATTGGATCCATCTAGTTTGAATTATAGTAACATTTTCTATTGGGCTTTAAGGTACAGTTAATGTGGATAAGAATTGGGGATTCATAAAAATAAAATATGTTGCAAGATGTGTGTGACCCTGGCTGTAAGGAGGGTACTGCAGAGGTGGTGTCAGAATGGATGATACTGCTGGTTTCTCCAGGACTGTTCTCGACAGTTGCTGACTGAAAAGTGACCTTTGCATAGAAAAAGGCAATGCCTGAAAAAGACAAAATTTAAAGGCACCTGTTACATGTGAGAGGCAGTGCTGAAGAACTGTGCAACCCTGGGAATTGGAATTACTGAACAAAACAGCATAAAGTGCAGCTTGTCATAAGTGTGAGTATTACAAAGAGCCTTTGCAAAAGTCTGGGAGCTCATTAGTTGGAAATGCAGAGCATTAGGAAGAGGTGATTTGATTTAGTTGGTTGCAGCTGAGTTTGAGCCATGAGGCCAAATTAAACAAATAGGATCTGAGAATGTACTGGACTATTTTTATTCTGTAGAAGTTGTGTTGTTAGGTACTAAGAAGAGTTAATTTTAAATGGAGTATGTTTTTCTGGCTGATTAAGGTCAAAAGTAATGAATCCAATGTGGAACAAGTACAGAGAGATTACTCAAATTATTGGATGAATGGTGGCTTTGCTTATGGTGAAAAGGACTTTGTTCTGCATGGCTGAGCAAGCTGGACAGTGAGGCAAGATGGTTGCAGTTTGTGTTCAAAAGTGTGAAAAACTATTTGAAATAAAAAGCAAAGTAGTTAAAGTGTTTATGGAAATGGAAAGTTCTGGAATTGTTCGATCTGAATGCTCCATAATTTTTGATTTGTTGCAGTATGTATTCTGTGACAAGCTTTGAAAAAAAATGTTGCAGTGAGTAGAGATCTAGTTCTTTATCAAGGTGATTAGCTTTACCCATTTGCAGCAGATATTGGTGTTCTTATCTGTGGTTTCTAGCAATATTGGATCAGTTCCCATTATTTTAATATTAGTAGGAATAAACTCTCTGCTTAGTAAAAGTTTGCAAAGAATAGAGTCAGCAAAACCATAGTGGCAGTATCTGTGGAAGTAATTTTCTCTATGTAGTTGTGTAGAGAGAATATTTATAAAGCTATTTATTTATTTTGTCTATATTGGAAGTATTTACAAAACCAAGCAAAAACAAATTTGGCAAGAATCCTTTCCAGATGTGATCTTGGAAAAATGGGTGGGAATTGGCCACTTATGTACTTTCAGATTCAAGCAGTTGATTATGTATCTGGAGGCCTGATCTCTTTATTTTTGAAAGACAGCAGGTCATTAAAGAGACCAGCTCTTAGTTTTTGCCGGTAGTTTAAGGCTCTCACTTTAAACCTGATGTTCTGAGAAGAAAACTGAGAACTTCTTACAGAGCAAGGGTGTGTTCAGGTTTTTTGAAACAACTGCTACCTGCTGTTGCTCAGAAGAAAATTTAGGAATGGCAACTGTTACATTTTAGAACAAAGGAATGAATTTACAAAAGTTGTGAACTGGGAAGGGAAGGTTTGTTTGTTTACTATTTAGGAATTTCACAGGAAACTTCTGAAATAACATTATTATTGATAATGATTTTGATCCCACTAAGTCCTGTTATTACTGAACAATCGGCATTTCAAAATTACTGTAAAATTTTGATTATAAAAAAATCAAACAAACAGTTGTTCCCTTCTTCTTGGGTCTTCCAGGAACAGTTATTTTCCTTACTTTTCTGTAATTGTTAATTTTCTTTTACAGTTATCTTATAAAACTGCCAGCTTAACACCAGAATCCAAAGAGCTTTGCACTGTAAAAAAGAAACTGAGGTTTCTGAAAGTCTCTGAAGACTGTGGTGTTGTGAATCAAGGGGCTTTAATATATGATAGTCATAGATTGTTAATGGGAAAAGGGGAAATAGGGGATGTATACATACAGCCAGCAGAACTTAAAAAAGCTGCTGGCAGGTAGCTGTTTCATTTTCTTCATGTGAGCAACTGCAGTGCACTGCAACTAAGCAGTGCTGGCATTTTAGTCTCAGGAGGTGAGAAATGAAATTTTTTAGGCAGCTGCAACTGGGATTGGTTTGTGGTTTACCCAGATGCCTTTGTAATGATTTAATGCTCAGATTCCTGTGGCTAATGAAGAACTGGAAGGCTCCTGTGGATGGATTAGGTGTGCACAGCTCTCTACAGCACATCATCTCAAATTCCAACACAGAATGTATGAAAGCATAGATGGATAATAGTTTTCCACAAGGGAAAATTTCTGATGCAGGTGTTAAGGGTATTTTTATTCATGAAGAGTTCTCAGAGATGACTGGTTTGAATACTGACAGCAGAGCATTCTGTGAGGCAAGAGAAGAATCAGTAAGCACAATTTGGTTTGTAGTTTTGTGATCTCTTAGAAATTATGTCCCTGGAAATGTTGGTAAGGGTTACTGTGCAGCTAAGGGATGGCTGTTTGTGGGAAACCATGAAGTGCCCTGGTCTGGTTTCCAAGTGGGAGATACATATATATACATATATAGATACATTCTGTATGTAATATTTAATAGTGTGTAATAGTATGCTCTTCTCATTACATTGAAATTAAAGGAGGAGCATGGTGCTTTCCGTGGAAGTGATGTGGATCTTCTGCTCTGTTCCTTTAATGGCAAAAGAGTGATACAACCCCATGCCCTTCTGTTTGTTTCTCAAAACTTTGGATAAGAGGATGGATCAGTAAGATGTAAAGCAGGGGGAATTTCTTGGGGCTGGTGAAGTCTTGCAGTAGGTGCACTTAGAGTGTTTCTGCTTTGGGCTGATCTCACTGGTGATGTGTTCCTGGAATGATTATCTGAAAGCTGTGATGCTTTAGAGCTGACTTTAAAGTACTAAAACTAGTTGTGTACTCTCAGTTTGTGCCAGATGATGATAAAATGCTCTGAGAATCGAGTGGGTTTATCTTTGGGTTCAGTCAGTCCCAGCTACCTGGTCCTCAAAACACCTCTTTCAGCTATGAAATTTAGATACCTCCAGAGAAACTATGTTCTAGGTTATCTTCCTCTTGCAGCTGTATGGGTTAATTATGTAATATTTGAGATGTGAGAGCAGAAAAATATAGGTGAGAGGTGCTTTATAAGCTAAATTTAAATGTTAAAGGAAATGTTTTAGTGCTTGTCAGTGGTAACCTAGAATTTCTCATTCCCCTCTTCAGGCTACTACACAGATAGGCTAAGTATAAACTGTGGTTTCATGCTTATTTAGGCATTACTGAATTCTTCTTGTATGAACCTTTTTCTATATCAGTGATGTATTTCCACTTAGCTAGCATGAGTGCCATCTTTTAAAAACACAAGTCTTTTAAAGTATTATTTTTTTTTTCTTAAGGGCAATATTCTAAATAATCCTATCCTACCTTTCTTCATTTCACTACTATTCCCTCTATTTATGACTTTTCCAGTTTAATCATAGGATAGTTTGAATTGAAAGAGACATTTAAAGGTCATACAGTCCAACCCCCCTGTAGTTGTAATGTATGTATTTTTTGTTAGCTAGTGAGGCTCCATGCTTAGATTAAGAAGGTATACTGTGGAACTTAACCATCTGTGCACTGAAAGTGAGAAGTCTGAGTAGCAGTGGGGGGCTGAATACTTGATAGTGGAGAAAAACCAAATGTGTCAGCGCAGTCCACCCAAATCTTATATTTGCATGTTTAGGTGAGCACTTGTGGCTTTTATGTGACTGCTCAAATCAAGAAAGCTGGAAGCAGGATGTATTTTAGGAGTGAATGACTATGCAACTGAGAGAAGAAGAAAAAGATAAATAAATCCTGATAGCGAAAACCTTGGCATCAGGGAGAAGGAGGAAGCATGGCTATTTATGCAGGTGATCCTTAGTAGGAGAAAATTGAGGAAGATTGTCGCATCAAACAAAAGGAAGTAGTACTCTGTGCACTGAAGGAGATAAATGGAATCCTTAGGATGAGATACGAGAAAAAATATGAAAGAGGGATTCTGGGATCTAGGAGGGAGCCAATTTCAAGAGAAAAGGTTAGACAAAAGGCTTGCTTTTATTGGTAGTAGTGTTTGATTTATTTGGTTTGAATAAAAAACAAATCTTTGTAATGATCTTTCATTCTGGATACTATTTATTGGCAAAGAAAAAGAAATTGAGATAGCAGCATTTTCTGTTGCCAAATAGGATAAAACCCTGACACACAGACTGTGTTAAATTTGTTATTTATATACAGCAAAACATAAACATATCACTGTGTGCATAGAAGGGATTTAGAAAGAACATGACAGTCATGTAGGTAGAAAACAGTAGCTAGGTAAATCGGAATATGCAGAATTAGAAGTGTTTGTTGCCTTTAAAGATACCACATTTTGTTTTAGTGTTACAAATATTGAGTGACTTTTCTCTTTAATTTCTTCTTAACAGACACTGAAGGCAGATCCAGAAGAACTGTTTACGAAACTGGAGAGAATTGGTAAGGGGTCTTTTGGTGAAGTTTTTAAAGGAATTGACAATCGGACTCAGAAAGTTGTTGCTATAAAAATTATTGACCTAGAAGAAGCAGAAGATGAAATAGAAGACATCCAACAAGAAATCACAGTGTTGAGTCAGTGTGACAGTCCTTATGTAACTAAATATTATGGATCCTATTTAAAGGTAAGATACTCACAGATGGTGGCAATTTGATTTTACAAGTAGTTCTTTTCCAGGCTATCCAGTTCTGCCTGTTTTTGTTGGTGAGGTTTGTTAAACCTCGGTTGAAGAAAAATGTGTTTTTGTTCTTTCAACTCTAAAGAAAGAATGAGTTACTGTATTTTGTGAAGTATGTGACAGAACTTAATAGGAAAAATGTCTGTCTGTTGCTATTTCTGTACAAAAAAAAACCTTTAAAAACATGAGCTTGTTGAGGTCTAATATGTTTATATTCTCTTATTATTAAGCTATTTAAATTAAAAAAATTCAGCCTAAGCCTGAATTGAATTATCAAAACATTAAAAGCAATTAATATCAATTGTTTTGTGAAGCTTGAAATTTTTTGTCGAAGTTTGATTCCTGATCATTCTAAGCTCTTAAGCTGTCCTTTTGAGGAGACTGAACCTAGCCTTGGGGTCTGAGTGATTTAGAAATTAAAAAATCTGAAAGTAAATTATTTTGCACATTAGATATAGGTGAAGCTAATGATGGAAGGGGTTTCTGTTAACTGTCTTGTGAATCTGTTTCGCTTTCCTCCCACTGCCATATTATTATTGTCAGGATTCAGTTTGAAGGGTGCCAGATAGTTTGCTCTTTTGTTAAGGTTTTCTTTTTTTGTTATTGTTTTTAATTGGATGGATGAAACAATTTATTACATCTTGAGGGTAGTGGCAATATCTGGAAGCTTTTGGTATTATTTTATTCCTTCGGAAGGCTTTGTTCCTGTCCCAGAGCAAAGCTCTTTCTTTTATGACCATAAGATGAGAATCTAGATAAGAGACTGTTGTCTTTGCAGGATTTGTAGTTAGAAGTAGTCAGAAATACTTTAATTCAGTCTGCTTTTACTTTTGTATAAGTATTCTATTTATCAGCAAAGACATGAAGGTTCTGAAAGGGGGACCCTGCTTTATCTCTGTGTTTCTGAGATTGCCAGTTAATTTCCAAAGAAAAATGGAGTTTTTCTGGATCTGGGAGATGCATGACTCAAGTGAGAGACAGATTTTCCTTCCTTCCTTGTGCTCTGAACCAGTTTGGTTGGATATCTTACCAGTGGAAGGCTTTGGTACTGATCTTTAGACTTGATAGCCTGTTACCAGACTTAGATGTTATGTGTAGGTTTGATCTCAGAAGTATCAGAAGGCAGTTAATCAATCACAGTAAATTGGATAAATTTTTCCCCATGGCTTCTACTACTTTTGAAATTGCACTGTCAAGGATTGATAATTAAATGAAGTATGTCATCTGCACAGCTGTGCCTTCCTGGTCTGTCTGCTCTAAACAGTTGTAGCCCTGCTCTGTGTGTTGTGTGCCCTTCTAGTTGTGTGAGCTGTCCCATCATGTCTGGGTAGTTGCAATGAGATCAAAGCCTTGTGACTGCACACAGATCTCAAATTCCTGCTGCTTGTTCCCTATACTGCCTTCATTGGTGTGCCAGCACTTCACACGGGTATTTGAGTGTGTCTGTGTCTCAGTAGAGGTGGAAGGGAGTGTCATACAGTCTTTTCCTCTTCTCCTGCTTTTCCTAGTTCAAAGCTCACTTTACCAGGTTGGCTATTCTGTTGGCAAAGGCTTGTGTGACCTGTTTCATGAGGTGGGTTCCATCTCTTCCTATCAGCAGAGTCCTAAACCAAAACCTTGTAGCCAGCACCAGTGGTACAGCTGGTATAAGTAAATGGATGTAAATCCATCTACTTCTCCTCTCATCATTTTCCCAAACTGGCATAATCAAGGAGAAGACTACCTGGGCCTCCAGACCCTTGACCATCATCTCCAGAGCCCTGAAATTGGATGTGATAATTTCTAGTTACCCTTGGTGTCATTTTGCCCAAGTGAGAAACCAGCTAGGGATATTAGCTCTTACAGGATAAGAAATAGAGTATAAGGAAAAGTCTGATGGGAAAGTCATACTAGTTTTAGAAGTGTATAATTACAATGAGTCTGAAAAAGAAAATCCAGTGTTCAAATTTGAACTAAGTGAATGTTGATGTTTTTTGAAGGTATTATGGCAGTGGTTGCTTTTCCTAATGGAAGGTGAGAAGAGATTGTATGGCTCTGTACCCTGAATGAGTTTGTCTGGGTCCAAGTGTTAGGACGGATACTTGTGCTTATTGTTGTGAGGGGGACCCTTTAATACCTTCCGCATCCCTTTTTCTATCCAGTGCAGTAGCCTGTGAGTTTTTCAAATTGTGTCAGCTTCCTAAGATACTGCGCCAATACTGGCTGTGTGTGACTCAGTTACTTTTGCAGAGAAGTGCAGCTCTTTCTACAGTTAATAAAATGTGCAACTGCTCATGTACTCATTGCTTCAGTTCTTTGTAAATGTATATTGTTTATAAGACACTTGGTGCTACAGAACGTTTGGTCTTCAAAAGAAAAAGCTAATTCCTTTATGCTGTTAAAAATTAATGTGTGGTGGTTATTAGGTGATGCTGAAGTAGAAGTTCTATTTGCTTTCTAAAATAAGAGTCAGGTCTTGTTATCAGATAGAGATAATGTGTCATCACATATATACACACATGCACACACACACACGCACACAAAAGGGACTATTTTAATATTTAAATGAATTGCTTCATATTCTTGGCTAGAAATCTAAGTTTATTTGCTGCAGGTCTTAGTTGTATTTGGAAGCCAGGACTGCCATATGTAGTTCTAAGGGTCTGACCATCTTTCAGCTCTCTTTCTGATAGTGCAGATAATCTGTCACTGAGAATGTTCAACACATTTATTTTCCATGTGTTGAGTGATTAGGAGACATTATTTCTTCTGTGATTGGACAGTTTAGCACTAATTACAAGGAAGATAATAATGTCTTGTCACAGAACAAACTTTTTTGAACTAAGCAAGTAAGAAAACAATAGGATCTCAGTTTATATTGCCAGCCACTTCACCAATTATCATCCTCTAGTTTGTGCAGCCTCATGCATGTTGACCATGTTTCTGGTGGATGTTTGATAGAAAGAGGTACTGTTTATAGGGAATTCTTAATTTGATTTTCTGTTCATTATTTTGGAAGACATATTGAAAATGTTTTTGGAATTGCTATCCTTTCTCTAGGTAGGTAGAATGGTTTGGTCTTGATGTTTTTAATATTTGTTTATTTTCTTATAAACCAAATAATCTGTCTTTGAGAAATCTTTATATTCTTTCTATGTTATTCCATGCCTTTTTCCATTAAGCTAAATGATTGTATATGCCAGTGTGTTCAGGAACCTGTTGCTTGAAATTTTAGAAGACTTATATAATGCTGCTGTCCTTGCCTGAGACCTCTTGCTGTCTTGAGATAATGTGAGAAGAGCTTGTCAAGCTCTTGGTTCTGACTGCATGATATACATGCTAAGACAGCTTGAAATAACTATTACAATTTAATGAAAGTTACTTTGTTCAAGAAACTTTTTAAAAACACTGTTTAATTTCTAGGTTCTACCTAGAAGAGTGTAATATACCCAAAAGCCTTGTTAAATTTTCTTACTCTGCAATTCTCTGTATATCCTAATTGAATATTTTGGAAATATGTTTGCTTTATAGCAAATTCTTCTTTCAGAATTTCCAGAATATCCAGAGACTAAGCCATATCAGTTCATATGAAATATTGCGGCTTTAAAATGATGAGTCTTAAATAAGAAGCAACCTACTGCTCCCATAAAGCAAGTCGTGCTTTCCCTCTAGACTTTGTTCTGTGCATCTGTTGGAGGTTTGTGTGCAGTTGCTGTGGTCAGAGTTCATGCAAATAGAGCAAAAGCAGTAGTGAAGTGGTATCAGTTTAGGTTGCCATTCTTAATAAAAATTCTTTTGAGGCACACCTTTTTTGTCAGAAATCAAGATGTATTTATATACAAAAGAAATGAAAATGCCCTTTTCTAAATGCATTGTATTTTTAAATTCAATGGCTTGATGTTCCCATTCTATTGAGAAAAAAGGTTTTTGTCTACTGTAGGATATAGTAAGTAACTAAAGTTAAAAAAAAGTGCTCCTAAAGTAAATTGCAGCTTCATGGTTTACTGGGGTGCAGATATCTACAGGGATTGCCATTCCTTATCTGCCACGGCGTGTTAAAAACCTGTATTAGTGTTCTTTGCTGTCTTCCAAATGAAGGTTCGTCTGTTCCTCTATGATCTGATTAAATGCTCCAAAGACAGAAGAATAGTAGTTCTTTTTAGATCCTTATAGAATTAATTAATGAAACCTCTCAGTCTATTTACTTCTGTAGAATTTAGGTTAACAGCATCCACATTCTTCCTTGTAATGGATTAGGGATTCTTTTGGTTTTGTTAAGTTTTTAAAAATTTCTTATCAATTTGGCTGAAATTTGCTGCCTCTCTGGAGTTTTGCTATGTTGGAACTCTTAGGAAGTATTGCTGTGCTACTTATTCTAAAACTTTTTCAGTCTAGAAGCTTGTCAGCTCTGCTTTTTGCATCTCATTCTACTTTACCGATTTTTCAAGAGATTAGTTAGATTTGGTTCTATGGTTGTTTCTCCTATACTTGTTTTTTTAAATGGGTTTTATTTTCAAGATTCAGATGTCTCACTGGTAATGTTTCTTCAGTTTTATTAATAACATTAAATATGGCTTTATTATAATTTAATAATGTTTTTATATTTCTTGTCTTATTATTTAGAAATATATGGGCAAATTAATTTGCTCATATATTTAAAATATTGTAGATTAAAGACCCTTGACTTTTTTGCATGTATGTACGTGTACATTACACGCAAAGCTTAGATTAATAAGTGTTTATGGTAAAAGCTGAAATCAGTGTGTTTATATGTATGTAGACGTTAAAAATCCTTTCATTTCCTCATCTTAGACTTCTGTACATACGTATGTAATGGCAGAGCAAATAATTTATAAGTAGTTTCATCATCCATTATAACTAGGTGCAAATGATATCAAACTGGTATTGAACTAGTTTGTAGTATGTTTTTAAAAAATATTGCTGTATTTTAAAAAAATATTGTTGTG